TTGTCAGACAAGACTTTCTGTGTTCAGTCCCCCCAGTTTCAGGTCAGCAGCAGTGAAGTGAATCAGAGTTACTTGGTCACACGTCTCTTACACGACTTTCAGTCTGCGACTCCTCGATGCCCCCAGACCCCAACAATGATCTCAACAGCCAGACCCAAACAGTCAAGACTGGAACCAAGGCTGCAGTCTGACAGCTCTCGTTTTCACAGTTAGTACAACAGAAACACCTGAGCAATTAGTCGCCTGTCAGCCATTTGCACGATTAACTCTGTTCACCTGACACTGGGGTTGAACACAACAGACGACACTGTTGTTACATGACTTATCGTGTCTAGAAAATCATTTCCACAGACAGATGCTGCAGTTCTGTGCTTTTGCTCAAATTTAACCCTTTGATCTGAAAATCACATTTCAATAGTACACATCAAAATAAATATCACATTTAATTTAATTTTGTACAAATCAAAAATGACTAATTTTACTTATAGCTGTGGTTCAGGTCCGGTCCTGTTAGACCAAGAGGACAGCTGGTCCAGAGGTTCAGGTCCGGTCCTGTTAGACCAGGAGGACAGCTGGTCCAGTCATGTTGGAGGACAGCAGGTGTGAGGATGCTGTACCAGGAGAACAGTGTTGAAGTTCTGTGATTTTACAGACATGATGTTCTTTCGTTAGAGGTTTTGCTGCAGCAGGTGTTGGTGTCAAACTTTACTGTGTTTCAGTCCCACCAATGGACTGCAGAGTCCCACTGTGAGCTGTTACAGAAGCCCCTGTCTATACGGAGGAGAAACACAACTTCTACAAAGAATGAGGAAGTTTATATCCTAACAAGTTTGGTGTTGTTCCTGAGTTGTACAGTTGTACATTTTAAGGACTGAGCACATGAAGGTCTGTTTTACCCAGAGTGGTGGGTGTCTTGTACAGACTGCTCTGCTGTACTGTTGAAATTTTATATCCTTCAGAAATCAGCTGGATAAAGAAATGAAATTCATCATCGTTGATCTCTAGCTTGTTTGATAGTGAGTAGTAAATGTGTCACTTGTGACCTCCCTTCCTGTCTCTCCTCCTGTTGCAGTGAGTGAAGGAGACCCTGCAGTCGAACCCAGACTCCAGCCCCGCCCCTCTGAGCTGAGACTGGTGTCGCTGGGAGCCGGACTGGGGGCAGCAATAGGGGCCCTAGCAGGAGCCCTGAGGGGCCCAACAGGAGCAGCAGCAGGAACAGTGATAGGAGCTGCAGTAGGAGCTCAGATAGGAGCTTTACTGGGAGGAGAAACCAGAGCAGCACAGACTCACACACAAGAGCGCACATAGCCCACAGATACACAAGAGCGCACACAGTAGTCACAACGTAGTCTCACTGAAGGCACTCAAGAATACATAACCCTCAGACACATAGAGAACACACACAGCCCACAGACACACACAGCCCGCAGACACAATGAGCAGACACACAGCCCGCAGACACACAAGAGCGCACACAGCCCGCAGACACACAAGAGCGCACACAGCCCGCAGACGCACGAGAGCACACACAGCCCGCAGACACACAAGAGCGCACACAGTAGTCACAACGTAGTCTCACACACAACCTGAAGGCACTCAAGAATACATAACCCTCAGACACATAGAGAACACACACAGCCCACAGACACAACGAGCAAACACACACAGCCCACAGACACAACGAGCAAACACACACAGCCCACAGACACAATGAGCAGACACACACAGCCCACAGACACAACCCTCAGACACACACAGCCCACAGACAGGAGAGAGAAACAGACAGGAGATCGAGGAGCTGAGAGAGAGCTGAAGACACTGAGACAGGAGCAGGAGAGGGAGAGGAGGAGCTCAGGCAGTGTTATC